GCCCAACAGGTGGACTCTCCACAAACTGTTGCCCCAGTTCTAGGGCCACAAACTCAGTGATGGCAAATGTGGTCTAAAGATCAACAAATAGCAAGCTAGCTAATGTCAAAATAATAAAAGTAATGCGGTAAACAGAAAAAAAAAAATTCTTTTCCAGGATTGCGTTCTAAAAGATCAGGACTTTTTATTTTACTCAATGGTGGGTACTAATCTAACAAATACTAAATCCCCATTTGACAGATTTCAGATCCAATACACAAATAAGACAAGAGACCAAGCAAGGCAATGTATCCAGATTTATAAGAAAGCGCCACTGGAACTACATCAGCTATGCACTCAGAATGGATAAGACAAGACTTCCCAATCAAGAGCCCCACCAGAGGGGTTAGGGGAAGGGGATGCGGGATAGACTCACTAGTCAGGGAGGGGATATGGGATAGACTTACTGGTGGGGGGGGGGGATGTGGGATAGATCCATGGTGGGGGAGGGGGAGGGGATGCAGGATAGACTCATCGGTAGGGAAGGGGAAGGGGATGTGGGATACTCATTGGTGGGGGAGGGGGAGGGGATGCAGGATAGACTCATCGGTAGGGAAGGGGGAGGGGATGTGGGATACTCATTGGTGGGGGAGGGGGAGGGGATGCAGGATAGACTCATCAGTAGGGAAGGGGGATGGGATGTGGGATACTCATTGGTGGGGGAGGGGGAAGGGATGTGGGATAGACTCACTCCCCCCCAACAAACCTTTGATAAAGGCGACTAATTAAGAGATGAACAGAGAATCCCCAAACAGGCACTAAAATGGGAAATAGAAGGGACAGAGGGACTGAGGAAATGAGGACGTCCGAAGAAATCTTAAGGTGAATGTTGATGAGAGAAGCCAAAGGTGCTGAAGTGGATTCCATCCATGATATCAACATGACTACACAGAAAAAAACAGAATGGAGAAACAGACTGCAAGCCTTATGTGACATACAATGGCATGATAGTATGATGAATAAGTAAATGAATGAATTAGGAGTGTGCTGAAATTAGAGGTGCAGATATCTCAGTCTGGCTGTAAACCACATGACAATGTGCCAACAGCCCTTTTAAAGGTGGATGCAGGAGAGAAGAATGGTCAAGAGCAAGTCTAAGCCTGTTTCACTGATAGATTGTGTGACAAATGATCTACAGAATACTAAGTTATTATTTTTTACACAAAATCTCTCTTTGGCTAAGTGGTTAAGCTATTTTTCCTTGCATTCTGAAAGTTGTGGACTCATTTCATGGACTCTGCCATCTGTTTCATAAGTACCATTATTCTGCAGATCCCTTGGGGACTTTTTGTAGCAGCTACAGAGTTTATACTCTGTGCAATGCTCTCAGCAGACAGATAGCTATATGAGATAAAAGCCTGCACAATGAAGTCAAGTCTCTACTTTCATTCTTTTTTAAACACACACAAAATGAAACCAGAAACATAACCTAGCTATACACTGTTACAGTATCCTTCACATGGCACTGCAGAATGAACCATAGCAATTTACAACTAACTTCATCAGGCAGTTTTATGTTCAGTAGTCTGCCATTGCTTCTGAATGACTAGCTCTTGATCAATTGTTGAAATTATAACAAAGCAGACTTCACTGTTAAAAGTTATTTAAAATAGCATATAAGAGTTTACACTGATTCCCCGACTTCTCCTCTCTGAAAACCTTCACAAACAAACATTTCTGAACACTCAGCTCCTGATGCCATTGTCCAAATCAAAGCAAAATCACTCTTACAAGTAACTTAAAATATTAAAATGGGGTAAACTGTTTGCATGGATTGCTTACCTTCTCCTCTCTGAAAACCTTCACAAACAAGAGTTTACATTGATTCCCTACCTTCTCCTCTCTGAAAACCTTCACAAAAATGAGTTTACATGGATTTCTTACCTTCTCTCTGAAAACCTTCACCAACATGAGTTTACATGGATTTCTTACCTTCTCCTCTCTGAAAACCTTCACCAACATGAGTTTACATGGATTCCTTACCTTCTCCTCTCTGAAAACCTTCACCAACATGAGTTTACATGGATTCCTTACCTTCTCCTCTTTGAAAACCTTCACCAACATGAGTTTACATGGATTCCTTACCTTCTCCTCTCTGAAAACCTTCACCAACATGAGTTTACATGGATTCCTTACCTTCTCCTCTCTGAAAACCTTCACCGACATGAGTTCACATGGATTCCTTACCTTCTCCTCTCTGAAAACCTTCACCAACATGAGGTTACATGGATTCCTTACCTTCTCCTCTCTGAAAACCTTCACCGACATGAGTTCACATGGATTCCTTACCTTCTCTCTGAAAACCTTCACCAACATGAGGTTACATGGATTCCTTACCTTCTCCTCTCTGAAAACCTTCACAAACATGAGTTTACATGGATCCCTTACCTTCTCCTCTCTGAAAACCTTCACAAATATGGGTTTTCATGGACTGCTTACCTTCTCTTCTCTGAAAACCTTCACAAACATGAGTTTACATGGATTCCTTACCTTTTCCTCTCTGAAAACCTTCACAAACATGAGTTTCTGGAATGAGCTCAGTCTCTCACTCCAGTACCCATTTGTTTCATTCTCACGTGGTTTGCTTCCAGGTACATACTCAGGTGGTTCAGGGTCAGAGTAAGGATATTTTTCAGCAGGTGGGTTTGCTTTGATCTTCAGAATAAAAACAGTGAATGTTAACAACTGCATGAATATTAACAACTGTGTGTAGTGGATGTGAACTAAACTGTACACCCACACCATTCACCCCCCCCCCCCATTTTTTTTTACCCCCAGGCATCAATAATTCTTAACAAGGCCAAAAGACAGCTTTTGGGACAGGATTTTTTCTTATAAGCCAGTACGCCTTGATGTCCGGATCATGCATAATGTCAGTGTTTTTCTTTTTCATTCCCTGTCCTACACAACCATAAAAATAGTGGTAAATACCAGCAGTAAAGATTGTTTGTTTGTGTGTGGGTAAACTGTTTACTGATACTGTTATACATCACTGTATTTAAGTTGAATGTTGAATTAAGAATCAACATCATAGCACTCGGGACACTCCCATAAGCCTTCTGTCCCCATCTTCAGCAGCAAGCAAAGAGTTCCAATTCCGATGGCACCGATAACTGTCTGATTGTATATCCATCTTGTCCTTCACCTGAGTGTTGAGCGTCAGCCAGATCCCCTGGTAACTCCTCGCAGTGCCATTCTCCTCAGACCGTAATAATCTATCTGTGCCTCCTCACTTTTCACTCGCTCTGGTGCAGAGCCAGACAGTCTATCTGCCTGCTCATTTCTGAACATACCTGCATGACCTGGAGAAAATATCCAAAGGACGCTAACTACTGTGATATCTGAATTGATGCTTGCCACTCTGCATGGAGCATGCCTGTCTCCACATTTCTCAACATGCTCTGTGAGTCAGTTACAATCACAGCATGTGTATTGTATTTAAGTCAGATACAGTAGAAACCAAATAGATAAGCTATATGGATGTTACTGCAGCAAATTGTCTCTCAGAAACAGTACTCCTGCCATGTATATACAATTTTCTAGCCTCCAAGCAGCAGACATCATATTAGCTAGAAACTGTAATTGCATAATACTGTATTTAATAACAGCATTTCGAATTTCAAGAACCAAGATCACATTTGTGCTCCGTCCCCATCTTTAGCAGTAAATAAAGAGACTCAGCTCTGATGATTTCTGTAGTCCGAGGTGTCCCCTTTCCCAACAGTTATTTCATCGTCTTTGACTCCTTCATCTCAAAGTCTGTGGAATGCAGCACAGTCAGTTTGTCTGGCAGAAGGTGTTCCAGCTTACAAAACAAGCATCTAGCCATGTTTGATATTTTATCATTATTTGGACACAGCAATAACAACAACAACAACACACAAAAACATGAAACTTGCAGATTAAATTAATCACACTAAGGTCAAAGAGGAGCGGATCAAATTCACTGCGTTAGATTTAATCTCACATGGCTCGGTCTCTACTCACAGAATGACTAGACACCTGCTGAGAACATCACACACAACAAGAACTCCATAGCGAAGAAAATTACACAGCCATGATGCAAGCGCACAACCTTCTGAGTGCAAGTCAAACCAGAGGTTGGACTAAGTCTCCACCCTTCAAGTTCAAGTCAAGTCACAAGTCAGTGCCACTGAGTCTCAAGTCAAGTCCCAAGTCAGTGCCACCAAGTCTCAAGTCAAGTCACAAGTCAGTGCCACCAAGCCTCAAGTCAAGTCACAAGTCTATTACCAAGCCTCAAGTCAAGTCACAAGTCAGTGCCACCAAGTCTCAAGTCAAGTCACAAGTCAGTGCCACCTAGCCTCAAGTCAAGTCACAAGTCAGTACCACCAAGTCTCAATTCAAGTCACAAGTCACCAAGAATGCTTCCAAGCGGAGTCCCGAGTCAAGTAACTTGATGTTTAAAGTCATTTGTAAGTCACGCATGGGACATTGCTTATAGATCAATTTTAAAAAAAACCAGCAAAATACAAAATGCCAGTTACAAAAAAAAACACATCATTAACTATATATAAAAGCAGAAGTCGAATGTGAAAGCCTGATAAATCTAAATATAAGTTATTGTGTCCTGTTTTACATAAAGACATTTAAAAATGTGACATTGATCACCAAAAGAAATATACCGAGCTGTCGAAGCTACGAGTCGCAAGTCGAGTGGCAAGTCACTGGACAAAATTCCAAGTCGAGTCACAAGTCATTAACACTTTGAGTCCCAAGGAATGCATCATACGTTCATAGATTCCTACCTATAGATCCAATGAATGCATGATGTGCCGATTTTACATCTCTCTTGACTACCCTTGGGCCTCTGATGCTAAACCCCCTGGGACTCAAAGAGTTAATTAGGTGACTAAAGTCAGACTCGAGTCCAAGTCACGCTTCTCAAGTCCCGGCCTCAGGCTAATCATATTAGGTTTAAAAAAAAACGACAGTGGCCATACCTCAAATGTTTCTCCCAACCGAATCCACACTGGTGTCTTTGTCAGGTCGTGGTTAATTCCACGAAAACATTCAAAATTGTCACTGAGTTCACAAGCCAGCTTCCAGACATTGAGAGAAACAAAGTCTGATCTGGGTGGTTTGGGTGTGTTTTGCTGTCAAGATAAAAGACATCATTGGTATTATCTGACAATGGTAGTTTGAAGTAACACATGTACAGTAAAAGAAAGAGACAAACACTGTTCTTTGGCCACATAATGAGAAGAGAGACATTGGAGAACATTGTGACAACTTGAAAGATCAGTGGAAAAAGGGGTAGAGGCAGAACAAGAGAGATGAAGCTGGATGGGCTAAAATTATGGCATGGAGGGATATCATCAAGAAAGCTGTTTAAGTCAACCAGGGATCGTGATCTGTGGAAACGCATGAGACCCTATGCCAGTTGGCAGTGCACATGATGATGATGATGATGATGTAGAGTATAAAACATGTCTGATGTGTGATGAAGATGATCTTCAAATGAACAATTAAGTATAAAACAGCATATCAAAAGAACAAAGGTTTTCATATGAGGTGTCAATATATCTTAAGATTGAATGATATCCTAGACATGTATTTTAGACATGTGATTGACAAAGACAGTGCTTCCAGTGTTATTTACCATTCACAGAACAGGCAAAAGCTGAGATTAGCTGAAGCTTTCAGAAAAACAAATGAACAATAACCCCTCCAGTCTGATGTAAACAAAAGAGAATGTTACAAATCTGAAGCCACCCTGGTAAGTTACACGACTGTTGTGAACTTCAGGTGATTAGATGAACAATGTACTGAGAGAAGACCATGTCATGTGCATTTCAGTGGAATTAATAAAGTTTGTGTAAATCTCTATATATGGATGTCATTATGTTGTAATGCTCCTGACTAGATTTAGGTAGATAGGTAGGTAGTTGTACCCCACCAGGACATCACACAAGCGATAAACACCTGGTGACACAAAGTGCCACCATGCGGATGAAGATCACCTGTAGAGAGGTCCTATAAACCCCTTTCAGCCATTAGGCCATATCTATGCCCCGGCTAATTTCAGGGCCCCCAGCAAAAGCCAGGGTGGGGCTTCAAATAACACATATTGCATCCCACATGGGGAAGACTCTATAATTAAATAGATACAGCCAAATATTATGTATGTATTACTTGTGTAGCATTATTTAAATACATAAACAATATTTTGTTTTTTAATATCTAGTTATATTTTACTGCCCAGAAATTGGTGCCACCCTGATTCCTAATTTAATAATTGACATCATAGCACATCGGGCACACCCACAGATGCTCCATCTCCTCCAGCAAATGTCTTAAGGTGTAGATGCTGACTGTTCCCATAGCACACTGATTATACACTCTTTATTCTCTTCCTCTATATATCCCTCCTTGCCAGACCTACACTTAATTCCCTGTTCAAACCTTCTTACACATGATTTCTTCTAACCTTGTGTCTGCTACCAGCATTTCTTCATAAATGGTCTTCAGAAGGACTCCTGTGTCCAGTATAGCCTTAGTGTTCTGTAGCTATTACTTTTGCAGCCAGTAAATCCACTTTCGTTTCCTTCAAACTCCTGCATGACCTGAAAAGTATGTTCGCGTGAATCCCTGTGTTGCACATGCTGAGATGCCTAATCCTGGCCCTGCTTACAAGTCATAAACATATCTGTAATTATCTTCACTGTCTTTCCAAACAAATTTCAGCATTGTTGGGATTTTCAACAAGGATTTGCAACAATCCCCACAGCTAACATTCACAACAAACAGAAGGAAACATAAATACAAATATGTACCTTGTCCAAATCTCCAGTGGGGCCTCTTAAAAAGAAGTTCCATTCTGGTAAAGTGATGGTGCCAGCAGTTTTCATGATCTCAGCACACAAAAGAAATGAAAATATCAGTTTGTGTCTTTCAAATAAGGCTCTGTAATACACAGGTCACAATCTTATTAGTGTTTTTCTTTCACAAAACAAAACATAATGAAGCAAATAGACAGGTCACAATCTTGTTTTTTCTTTCTTAAAACAATATAGCTATTCAACTAAGTTTACTCAGGATCCAAAGTTTTGAAAATGGGTATCATCACGGGCCAAACACCTGAGAACCCAGCACATAAAGATCATTAATACAACACAAATGGCAATTATCCACTGGCCGTATATTAGGCCTCTGGGGGCCAGATTTGGCTTGTGGGCCACCACGGTTTTTAAGAAAGTTGCAGTATAAAATAAAATATAAAATTAAAATTAAAAACCATCATATTTAAAAATGATTTATTGCAGTCAAAAGTGAACCAAACATTTACATTATTTCTCAAAATAGTCACCATTGACTTCAACACATTTTTTGTATCTGGCACCAGGTTCTTAATTCCAATGTTATAGAAGTCTGCCACCAGTGTCTTCAACACCAATAACGTCATTAATGCTTGTCTGCAGTTCATCATCAATTTCAAACCGCTGGGATGCCAGCCAATTCTTTAGGTGCATGAAAAAATGCTAATCACTTGGCACCAGATCAGGACTGTAGGGCCGGTGGTAAGTCAAGCATTATCGAGCAAAAGCACAATTTCAGAGGACAGCAACCTATGTCTTTTGTTTTGGATGGCACGTCTAAGTTTTATCAGAGAGTCACAATAAGTTTTGGCATTAGCTGTCTTTACACTTTCAAGAAAATCAATAAAAAAAGACCCCCCCCCCCCCCCCCCCCCCACTAGAAAACAGTGGCCATGATCTTTTTGACAAAAGGTGCTTGCTTAAACTTCTTTGCTTTCGGGGACCGTGAGTGTCGCTACTGCATCCAATGTTGCTTTTTAATGAGTGAATTTTACACACATCTCACAAAACTTGAAAATATACACATTTGAATTATTTCATACCATGAATTAATGCACAAAATTTTCATTTTTCTATAAACATGTTTATCTGTTGGCACCCTGATCTTTATTACTGATTATGAAAGAGCATATCACTACAGATGCAAATAGATATCTGACCATGTGTACATGCACGCACACACACACACACACACACACACAGACACACACACACACACACATATATGTATATATATATATATATCTGACAATTAAGTAATGAGATTGATTTTATTAAGGCCAAGACAAAAAAAGCCATCTATAAAGCAAAGCATGGAATCTAAAGAGGCAACATTCATCTATAATCAGGCAACTTTTCTTCATCGCTCGCTAAGCAGACAATAAACAAGCTGCCATTTTGTTGACCTAGTCAGAGGTGCATTGTTACATAATCAGCATGGAACAAAAAGCCAACATTACATTTTTTTTATACTCAAAAAAAGCGCCATTGAAACAGTTGAAGTGATGCAACAAGTTTATGGGGATATTTGGTTATTTTGGGCACATAAGAACCCTTGGGGATTTCCCATAAACACTATGGTCCAATTTTCAGCAGTCAGTGCAAAATTTCAGTACTAATGGTGCCAGTTGTAAAGTGGATAATTTAGACAATTTAAAACCTTATATCAAGATATCCAACAAAGAAATGTGCGTTTCTCACCGTACCTGGCCACATTTCTGTAGATGCACATGGTTGTCTCGTCCAGACAGATCTGGAGTCTTCTAGGCAAGTCCTCGCTCTTCTCACTGTTTTGTATTGTGGCATTAAATAGCTGGTCAAACAAAACAACAACATTACATTAACTCTTTCAGTTACAGAATTTTATAGCTGGTGATGGAAACAATAATGGTGGCAACAAAAGCATAAGTTTATGATATCCACACGGATCCAATACACAACACCTTGTGGGTGATGTGCTGTTGGACTGACTAAGTTTGCATGACTAAACTTAAGATGTACAAATATATAAAACATGCTGACTGATGCACATGAGTGATATCCAGTATATATGATGTGCTGGTTGGGACTGAAAGGGTTAACAGGGCAAAGTCTACATGAAAATTATTCATATGGAAAATATGTTAGGTAAATACTTTCTGTGGCCAAACATTATATTATGTTTGATTTTGCAGCCAGTTCTCTGCAGGATATGGTTGCCAGCCTAACGCTAAACCTCAATAGTCTTAGAAAATGCATGACATTTTACAGTGTTACTGCTGCTTGCTTCTTTAACTCTTGTTATCCCCATCAATGTCACTGGACACTGGGCATTCCCATGTGTGCTCAGTCCCCACTACACCAGCAGCTTTTTTTTGGTTTTAAAAACATCATTTCTTCAGCATTACTGGAATAGACACTTTGTGGGGGGTACCGGCACCTTTTATAACACACTTTGGGGGGTGAGTACTGACATCTGCTTTCACTTTAAACAACAAAACAGAAAAACAACATTTCTGTGAGAACTGATGCAAGATACATGTAAACAGATGACAAACAGTTCTACAGTAAAAAAAAAAAAAAAAATGACCTGCTTGAAATATTTCAGTGAAAACTGGTACATGGGGTCAACCTCTCCCATGTCAGCAACCACAAAGTACATGACAGATCCCCTCTCTGCTACACAGATGTACTTCTCCCGAGCTGCGCTAATCTTCTCCTCTGTCATCTCTGACTCTGCCAATCTCTGCTTGATCACTGCTGAGGTCACCTAGGACACATTTGAAAATATAGGTTTGAAGGTGTGAACAATGGATCAACATCATGGCACCCGGGTAGTAACCCATAAGTGCTCCGTTCTTCTTCTAACTCAAGTCTGAGTCCCAACAAGCTCAGCACAGTGCACAGGCTCTGTAGCACTGGTGAGGATCCTGAAATACTTTTGATAGATTTGTAACTCCAAATTTGATGCCGTTAGGTTACTCTTTGTGATTTCCAACTGCCAAGGAATTTTGTTACATGCGCAACAATGCACACAGGCGTCTGATCTCACTACCCCGAGACCAGGGGGAATTACTAGAAGTCCAGGATTGAACCCGAAACCTCTAGCACTCGAGGCAGTCACCATGCCTCGAGACCATGCGGCTCCCCTGAAAATATAACATGTGGAAAGTCATCAGGTGATCAAAGAGAATTATCATCACAGATCTCAGAGGACATATCTATAGATGTCTCCAGCTCCTTCCCAATAGCTCAAGTAAAAAATTACTGATCATGCTAGTTCTGTATTGATTAAATAGATTGTCTTGTGTCTTGGGTAAACATTTTTTATGTCTTCAAACAATTAATTAATAACCTTTTCTCCTTAGCATTTACCGGCTGTAAACTCTCGAAGCAAGTTCTGGTTGTTCATCCACTTCTGGACTTTGTTTCAGAACATGAGTTTTGCATGCACATGCATTTGCAGATCTGGTTTATTTGTATGTAGATTGTTGGTTCCTTGCCTTAAGGGCAGATGAACTCCAATTTTGAAAGAAACACCTCTAATTTGTCACCTTTTATGACATTATTGTTGGGGGGGGGGGGGCAGATAAGTCCATTTTTAAAAACCCCAAAATAGGGCCGTTAAACCTACACAGGGAAAATGATTACCCAAATTCTGGGAAAGCATTGCCATCTTGTGTAATATTAACTAAAAGAAACCACTAGTCTCTTTACTACCCTATTATACCACCTTTAAGGGTGAGACAGGGCAGAAATAATGAGTAATTGTGTGGATTCAGAGCCTCAAGGCTAGGGTAGTCACCATGAACTGTGCAGTTTCGGAATTAATTTTTGTCCTCAACAAAGAAAATTATGCCACCTTAATGAAGAATGAAACCAGGGTCCTCCAAATGCTAGCCCAGCATTCTAACCAATGGCCAGATGCTATGACCACAGAATCCCCAAAAACCTTATAACATACAGATAAGCTTTATTTTTTTTTTGCTGCTACCATAGACTAAAACAGATACATTTAGAATGGATACATTTAACTGTAGAATAATATCCTCTAGGCATGGATCTTGTTTAGATAAATGAGTTCAAACTCCATAAGCTGATAACACTAGAGAATTGCTGGTGAATTTTACCTTACTGATTTCGTTTTTGAACTGAGATGTTACAGAAGGGAAAAGGAAAAGAAGAAGCAGCAGACAGACCAAGAAAGACCTGGATACAGAATTTGTCTGACTAGACAGGCCTCAACCATCAAGTCCACTTTACTGATCAAGAGAGGCTGATCAGGCAGTCAGGAGCTACTGGTGACCCCAGGACACCCAGTATTAAGGACTATGATGATGAAATATGCAGGGTGTCCCAAATAGGCGTAAGTTTTCACACATAGAAAAAATCAAAGTTTTCCTAATGAAGACATTTTTATTTATATCAGAACATGTATAAGCACAGCTAAGAGTTATGACTGTAATGGTGTTGGAGATATGTTTATTTTTTCTATGCGTCGAAACTTTTGGGACACCATGTAGAGCAGTGGCTCTCAACCTTCCCAATGCTGCGACCCTTTACTACAGTTCCTCATGTTGTGATGACCCCCAACTATAACATTATTGTTAATGATACTTTATAACATCAATGAATATATGTTTTCCGATGGTCTTAGGCGGCCCCTATGAAAGGGTCATTCGACCCCAAAAGCCGTTGTGACCCACAGGTTGAGAACCGCTGATCTAGAGTGTCAAAGCTTGTTGGACATGTTGTGGGTGGATACAAACTTGAAAATCTAATGACAACTGTCAAACCTGAAGGGAAAAGAGCTAAAAGAAGACAAAGGTAAAACCTTGATAGCCTGACCACATGTCATGAGCAGGACAAGAGCACAGACCTGATAGGTGAGACTGGTGATCATGTGAGACACAAACCACTGACATCTTTGCATAAAGGTATAGCACATGATGACGACCATGATGATGATGATGATGAGCTAGATATTGCCTGGATGTAAAGTTTGAGCAACACAATCAAAGAAAGAAGGAGAGAAGATAATGTTCATCTATTTTTTCACCACACCTTGGAATCATTCAGTGTGTTGATGAGCTCTTCATTGTCCAGAATGTTTCCTTCAGATTCAAACAACAGCTTGAGAATTTTATCTTCAATGGATTTAAGTTGATTCTTGTCAGCATTGATCCTGGAAATAAGCTCATTTCGCTGCTCTTCTAGGTCTGGTCTCTCTAGACTTACAACATCACTGGGGAAAAACATAGAAGAGTTTGTCACCTAGTTGTTTATTCATTTATACTGTTTAAAAACAAAATTAGGAAAAAGACCAGCATAATTATCCAATGGGTTTTATTAGTTAATGGGAAAGCCAGTGCACCTAAAAACTATCAAAGATCCAGAGACAACAGAACACTCAACTTACAGGTTGAACCCTAAGGTATTCTTGTGGGCAATTTTAACAATTTAATTCATTTAAATACAAAGATTTTGAATGTCAAAATACTAATAATTATGTTCCTTTTAGTAGATATGTGTTTCTTTATTTTTTTTTTTAACTGCATGTTTGTTTATGTAGCTGTATCCTTCTCTCTCTATTATCACTCAAATAGAATTATTACTTTGAAAATAAAAAGAGGAGAACAAGCTGAAACATATATACAGATATATGCACCATGCAATGATAATTATACAGAAGAGCAGAAAGATGAATTCTTTGACGATCTGTCTGATGAGATAAAGAAAGTGGAGGGAAGCAGCATACTATATGTAATGGGCAACTTCAACGGGAGGGTAGGAAATAACAGAAGAGAATACGAACAATTTTTAGGTCCACATGCAGCTAAGAACAGTGCTAGAAATGGAAATGGTCAAAGAATATTGGATCTATGCAGCCAGCACAATCTTTTTATTACGAACACATTCTTTGACCATAGAGATTCACAACTTTACACTTGGTACAAATGGAATGATGTCTCCATCAAGAGCCAGATTGACTTTATACTTACCAGAGTTCAAGGAAGAGGCTAGAATTCTTGATTCAAGAGCAATCCCTAATGGTCTATGTGACACTGACCATAAAATTGTTGTGTTAACAGCAAAACATCTTACATTAAAGAAACACAGAAAGAAATTAACCAAAAACAAGGATCTCATCAAGATAGCAAATCTGAAACAGGAAGGAGTAAAAGAACAGTTACAACAGAAAGTAGAGACAGCATTCAAACAACTTCCACATGTAGTTGGCAATATTGAGGAAGAATGGAGTAAATATAAAAACCCTATGCTTAGTATTGCAGAAGAATTATGTGGAAAACGGAAGAGTGGAAACAGACGGGGAAATAACAAATATTCACCTTGGTGGTGCGAAGAAGTAAAAAAAGCAAAAAGAAAAAGGACTGACGGGGAAATAACAAACATTCACCTTGGTGGTGCGAAGAAGTAAAAAAAGCAATTAAAAAGAAAAAGGACTTATATAAACAGTGGATAAAATCAAAGAAAGAAGAAGATTATATAAACTATAGACTGCAAAGGAGAGAAACCAACAGGAGTGTCAAGAAAGCAAAACAAGCATCCTGGGAACGTTTCGGTGAGTCATTAGCAGAAAATGAGAAAACAGCCAGCAGAAAATTTTTCAAAGTAGTTAAAAATATGCGGAAAAGAGATGAGAGCTACAACCCAACTGAAATAATTAATGATAAGATAGGAAGGCCGTTGATAGATCCACCCGAGATAGCAGAAAGATGGAGGGAATACTTTAATGAGCTCTTTAATCCTCTAGGAGATCTTCAGGAAAGAATAGCTGAAGAGCACAGAGCAACAGCGTTAGAACCACACATACTAATGGATGAAATAGAAAAAGTCATTAAGCAGTCTTCCAAATATAAAGCACCAGGAGCTGATAGATTACCAACAGAAATAATTCAAACAGCAGGTGAAAGCAGCATCAGATGGCTTCACAGAATATTTAATGCAGCATGGGTACAACAAACTGCCCCTATTGACTGACAACATGCAATAGTTATACCATTGTGGAAGAACAAAGGAAGCAAACGAGAATGCGGTCAATACCGAGGTATCTCTCTTTTAAGCCATGTTGGCAAAATGTATGCCAAGATAATAGAAACAAGACTAAGACCAGTGATAGAACCACAGCTGGCAGAAGAACAGATGGGATTTAGGAGAAATAGAAGCTGCACAGATGCAATCTTCACACTTAAACAGTTAATAGAAAAGAACATAATACAATAAGAACTTATTTGTGGCATTCGTAGACCAGGAGAAGGCATTTTACAGAGTCGACAGACAATTATTATGGAAAGTAATGGCAAGATATGGAGTAAGCAAACACCTCATCGAAGTGTGCAAAAGTTTATACAGGGATTGTAGAAGTGTAGTTAGAATAAATCAGGGAACATCTCATCCATTCACAGTGACATCTGGAGTAAGACAGGGGTGTGTCTTATCACCACTGCTGTTTATCACCTACATCGACAGTATATGCAAGAATGCCAAGCCCATGAATGAAAATGTTAGTAAGATCAACAAATTACTCTTTGCAGATGACCAGGCCTTGATAGCAGATACAGCCATGAAATTGCAACAATATCTAACATCCATGAATGAAGAATGTAAAACAAATAATATGAGAATCAACACTGAAAAGACAGAAGTAATGTCAATAGGAAAAAAGAAGACAGATCTAAACATAGCAATAGAGTGCAAAGGCATTAAACAGGCATCTAAGTTTAAATATCTGGGAACTACATTTACCGAAGATGGAAAAATGGATAAAGAAATTAACATTAGATGCAGTAAAGCAAACCAAGTATTGGGACAGCTAGCCCCCCTCTTACAGCATAAGACAATCCCAATCAGCACAAAGAGACATCTTATTCAAAGCATATTTATTCCAACTCTGTGCTACCAGTGCCAGACATGGTCACTCACAACAAACCATAACAGAAAGTTAGTAACCACGGAAATGAGATGTCTGAGAAGGGCTGTAGGAGTGACCATAAGAGATAAGATCAGAAATGAGATCATAAGAGAACAAGTCGGCACAGAACCAATTCTGGATTACATACGAAGACAGCAAGTGAAATGGTTTGCCCACTTAGAGAGAATGCCTTGTGACACCATACCATACAAAGCATACATGGAAAAAGAAGAAGGACGTAGAGCATGAGGTAGACCAAGAACAAGATGGAAGGATAACATCAGAGAAACTCTACAACAGCACAATGTGCCTATGGTCTAGGCTGCCAGAAGAGCTACAAACAGAACCTTATATCTCCCTCGACACCAACAGCGGTAAAAGAGGAAGTGAAGAAGAAGAAGAAGAAGAAGAATCCTTCTCTCTCCTATCTTTTATCAATAAATCTATTTATGCATTCATCCACCAACCAACTTGTCCCCTTGTGTGCCCCTTCATCTATCTGTTTTTAGACAGTTGATCCTCCATCCTGGACATGTTCGCATGACGCTGGTTTTTGTAAGACACACACACATTGAGAGAACATAACAATATTTAAACAAAGAAGACACAAGCAATAGATTGCACAATTTTTTGCCTGGCATATTTAATTAAATCTTGCCAGGTGTGTCCTACAGTAAAAATTACATTAAATGCAGCACATAAGCAAATCCTTTATAGCTGAAGAATACATTAAAATACTCTCTACAGCAACTGCCTGTTGTGCAGTCTCTTTGATATGTCTTGTTTGTTCAAATATGCAACACTACCTTCATAATAATATAACTAGCTAGTAAGTAAAGTAAAGTAAAGTTCCCTTTTCATGCCTTTCGGCGCATCGGGCATACGGGCAGAGCGTCCCATATTTTTACAGACCATCAGCACTCATTGGGTAATGTGGTCAGCATTACGCCGGCTGTCTTTACTTTCCCAGGACAGCCCATCCTGGTACCCATTTTAGGCTGGGTCGACCTGCGACGTCCGATACCACGACAAAAATCCACGCAGCCTGCTAGCTTGTACTAGCACTGAAACCCCAGGGGTTGAAGGAATAAAGACAGAACAAAATAAAACAAAAAACACGGAGAAGGGAATTAGAGAGTGAAGTGAAAAAAATAGGGAGGTCATGGGGTGAACTGCATGAGATTGGAAAAAAACATGCAAACTGGCATAAGTTAGTTGATGGCCTTTGCTCTATTAGGGGAATAAGGGACGGAAGAAGAGAAATGGCTAAAACTGGTACCAGCCAAAAAATGGGTACCAAATAATGTCTTTGAAGTAAACGTGGCTGGAACAATGTTAACCACATCATGTTTTTAAAATATTTTTATTTTTAAGTATCTAGAAACCATGAGTTGTAAACCCTTTGGCTTGGTACTATGGATATCGCAACCCTTCGGCTCTGATTCCATGGCAGATACCATAAATCTGGTAGAAATGTGGCATGAACCCGGACCACAAAGAGTTCGTTACACGGTCGCCACGCAAAAGATTTTTAACCAACTGCGCTAGCGAGCTGGGCACATCATCTATTAAATGTCTATTCATCAAAATAGAAAAGAAAAAAAAACAGTGGTCTAGAATCATATGCCTTACAAACCAAAAACATGAAAAAAAATTATTTCCTTTTAAAAAAATGACAGGAACAGTATAATAATTTTTAGGATAGCTGACCGGTTCAGTTGTGTCATAACCATCTGGCATTTACCTAGGGCTTTGTTCTTTTTAAATAAAAAAAAAAAAAGGTTTTGGTAGTCACCAGAAAGAGTTTCAAAAAAGGTGCCAGTTTTCACCACACAATGTTTTAAAACAAGGTGCCAGTACTCGTCACAAAGTGTTAAAAAAATAAAGGTGCCAGTACTCATCATAAAAAGTTGGGAAATGTGAGCCAGCATCATTGCACACGGTTATAAACCATAAGTGCTCTGCCACCAGTACGGACAGCTGATAAGAAACTCTCTGCTTGTGTCACCGTCCGCAAGCAAATCCGTGGCTACAGCGACATTCCTCCATTTACCCCAAAGCGTTAACTCTGGTACCCATTGCCTAGAGGCTGGGTCAACCCCAGGAACCGCCCAGATTCAAACACCGGCCGTGGGCTGCAGCGAGTTGCAGCTGGATTTGAAATCGAGTCTCCTATCAACTGCACTAACGAGGCCCCAGTAATCATCATAAAATATCTATTACATTTGTGGTAAAATAAATAATAGTTTTTTTTTTTAAAAGGTGCAGGTACTCGCCACAAAATGTTTTCAAAAAGATACTGGCATTTACCACAGTATGTTTGGATTAGGTGCCAGTACTCACCACAAAGTGTCTATTACATCAGTAGTGAAATAAATAATGAATTTAAAAAAAAAAAGGTGACGGTACTGGACTTACCTCAGCAGCTGGTCCTCAAGCCCCTTTTTAGTGACAGTAAAATTTATAATGGTGACTTTGATGCAGATTTCCGGCAGGTAATGTGGATTCGACAGCTTTGTTGTCATATAAAATTTGAAATTCTTGTCATAGTCTATATCGCTATCCCCTAGTCGAATCAGGAGACGTCCACCCTGCAACATTAACAGGAATCAGTTTTGGTTTTTAAAATGCAGTCATGTGAAGTGTGTGATAACTTTTTTAAAGGCTTTTTACAGTAAATGTCACAGTTAAATAAAGCTCAGTTACTTCAGGACAATTAGGTTAGCTCCTATCATCATTAGTAAACCCTTGTTCTGGTATCACTCCTCTTTGTTTGCAATTAAAGACTACACTTGCTGTATTTCATTTCACATTTTAATTTCTGCATATTTGCTCTTTTAAAAAACCATGGCCATTTCACCAGTATCATTCAATAAAAGAACATGCAAAAGTCTAACCTAATTATATCTACAAGGTCCGACGATTAAGTAATGAGACTGATTTTATTATGGCCAAGACAAAAATTTCATACAACAATCAAAGCATACAATCCAGAGAGGCAACCTTCATCTTTGATCTGGCAACTTTGCATCGCCGCCTGATAAGCAGACGACAAACAAGCCGCCATTCTACTGACCTAGTTAGATATGCACTGTTACGAAATCAGTATTTTAGACTGAGTCAGAGTAAGAGTCAAGGTCAATTTTGAAAAGAAAAAAATCTGCCTTGATGTGGATTTTTCTTCTTATTCACCAGCTGAAACTCCGGCAGAAAGTTATGGTTGTTGGTCCACTTCTGGACTTTAGTCTTGTTCCAGAATCTTGAGTTTTGTGTGCACATCCATTTGACAGATCTGGCTTATTTGTGAATCTTTGGGCCCTTCAAAGATGCAAACAGCGGGGAATGGAGAGTGAGACGCAACAATGAAATTCGTTATCTGTTAAAATCACCATTGATCACTGGCATCATGAGAGCTAATAGACTGAAATGGTTGGTGCATATTGAAAGAATGTCAGATGACAGAAGTAAAAACTGTAAATACAAGGGAGATGAGCGGTCAAGACCACGAGGCAGATCTAGAAGACGATGGAGAGATAATGTCCAAACAGACCTGCAAACACTTGGTGTCACCAACTGGAAAGAGAAGACCAACCAGAGCAATGAATGGAGGTGGGTGATATCTGCAGCAATGAACCTCTAGGGCTCGGAATGCTGAAGAAGAAGAAGTAGAAGAAGAAGAAGCTTATTTGTAAGCAGACTACATCTTTGTCTCCCAGGCAAATGCACTCCAACTTCAAAGAAAACTAAACAGTCAACTCTTTTGACATACTTGTTAGAGAGGCAGGCAGTAGGTCTACTCTTCCCATCCCTCACAGGAACTCACAAGAGGACCTTGATGTGAATTCAAATCCAAGATTTGTCGGCCAGCAGGCAAGTAAGTGTCTGGCCACTTTGCTAACATAGCCCAAGAAAAACAAAATAATATACCAACTTGTATGAATGTTTGCTTCAGCAGGATTGGCTCCAGAGCAGGATCTAATGTTTCCCCTACATCTTCCAGCAAGACAGGAATCCCTGTCCTAATGCAAGCTTCCATTGTTCTTAGAAAGCTGCTGGATGTCATTTTGACCACTTTCAGTTTATTTTTGCCCTCCATTGTTCGGATCCACCTGTTGGCCTGGGGATAGACATCGTAAATGTGCTTCTGTTTAGCAATAACATTGGATATATTAAGATTAAAAAAACAATTAATTTTTTTTTTTTCTAAATTAAAAAAAGAAAGATAACTTAGTGATAGAGTGTAGTGTGAGTGCAGTCAATTAATGACAAGAGGGTGTTAAATACAACATAAAATGTGACTAGAAAGCTCAACAGAGAAAATTGAAAAAACAAGAGTACAAATACTGTACAACCAAATGTTAGGACCAAAGTCTTTGTCAATGTAGGACTAAATCTTCTTCTGCCTTCTATCCCCCAACAGAGCATAGGTCCTTAACCAACTCACTACTATTGTATGCAGCTCACTCCCATATCCTGCCCATCTTTTTATCTGTTAGCCATGGTGTTAGAACCCGGACATAATAATCTGAACAGACCACATTCAAGACTGGTGATCCTGCGAAATGGCAAACTATAATCAAAATGACAACTGGCATGATACATGATGATGAAAAAAATGTCAGTCCTGATGTAAATAAATAAACTAGAAAACAGACACGGAGGACAGACAAGACCTGAAATCTAAAAAGACATTTGTGGAATATACAATCCAACCTGTTCTTGAGGATCAATTATTAAAGGCCATCTTCGACCTCTGGTCACCAAAATAGCATTCTCAGTTGACACATTGTCCCTGGGGAGCCCATCAGCATTCCACTGACGGATCTCAAAGTTGTCAGCCAGCACCGACACAAGGCTCAGGTTTTCTGACACTGGGATCTGAAGTGTGGAGAGACGCTGAGTCCAGTCTGGAAAATGAAAGTGCTGCAGTGTTATTTATCATAAACATAAATATGTTTGTGTAATAAAATAATATGGTCCCATTTAGTCATATACCTGCTGCTTAGTCTAAGATGTTATGGCAGGGCAGACCAGGGTCTTAGCCTTGGCTGGCAGCTGGTCTCAGAGAGAAGCTCCCACATGCAGACAGAGCACTGCTCTTCTGATCCGGCAGCTTCTGCTGCCTGCTCTGTTCCAAACGTACTGGTGTTACCTTTCCTCTGGAGTAAACAAGGCAGGTCGAGAGAGGGATCATGATGCATGGGCAACATATGGTTTCTTTTCTTACTGTGGGTGGGTCTTGATAGTCACACTCGCCATCGCCATGGGCTGCGAGTCCCATGCCTCTTCATGGCGCAATATAACACTATCCTCTGGAAAGAGAAAACGGTGCCAACCCCATGGTCTAACATACTTTTACCCCTTCAACACTACCCTGTCCAGACTTGTTGTTACTTCAGAAACATCTGAGGCTACACTTATGGGTGAAGGTGTTTCTGGGATTTTGTAGCTGTGGGATTCTCATCCAAAAGGGGACTCTTTGGGTCACCAGGTGTTAACTGCTCAGTAGGCAGCCCTATTGGAGTTCAACTTCTCTCAGTATACCGCTTACACATTTTACAAACACTCTACAGCAGTTTAAACTTGTTATCTTTTCAAAATTCCCACTAGCATGCTGATATAAAAAACAAAAACACTATGAACTACCGATATTATTAAAAGTAAAATTAATAATTATAGTAGAGTTTGGTAGCACAGCTGCTAAACACTAGCATGCTGGTCCAAAGGTCTAGGGTTCAAATCTGCATTAAGATGGATGTTTTTCAAAACTGACTTTGGCTCCCAGGACAACCTAGCCAAACTGGGCAGTAGGTAATGTCCTAGGAAGTAAAGGTGGCCAGCATGATGCTGACTATATCGCCCATTGAGTGCTGATATAAATGTATAGGACTAGCAATATATACTAGGGGAGCTGTCATAGTGTAGCAGCTAGATGGTGAAGATCTGAAGGTCATGGATTTGAATCCGTACTTTAAAAAAAAATGATCATAGCTCATGGAAAGCATCACGCTGGCCACATCATCTACTGAGTGCCGAGTGGTCTATAATATACAGGTTCAGCCCTTAATGAAAGCAATGGCAAACTACTGGATGTAAATTTGCCTAGAAAAAAACCACAACAACCAAAAAATGCTGGGGTTGGTTCTGCAACGTCCTGTAAAGGATACGCAACTAACTTTATAGCCCTATATGCCTAAAGGCATGGAAAAGGGTCTTTTCTTTTTTTTACATACTATATACCAGGTGCTCCAAATGCATGAAAAGTGTCTTCACGTTCATTCATTCGTTCTTTCAAAGAAAAAGTAAAAATCTTAGACTAAGTTCAAAGTGCTCCTATGAAAGCTTTAGTTACATTTGTAGTCGCTGGTCTTTGCAGTGTTTCTTGTTTATTTCTTTGTGGCATATGGTTATGCCTGAGTGTTTTTGTCCTTGCCGCTATTCGTGACCATCATGTTCCAACCATAGAGGTTTTCATACTACTAAGGATGTTGCCTGGTAGTCCTGATTGATAGGTTTTGTGTCTTCTGTGTTCTTATTCTACTGTTTTGTGTTCCTTTAAATGGGAGTGGCTTCTTCTTCTGCTGGTTCTGCACTGTTATTTTATGTTGAGATTATTGAAGTCACACGTACATAACTTCCTACAACGTTGACTTTAAAAAAAATGTAAAGTGGTACAACAAATACAATACAGGATAGCGAGAAGCAGTAGTAAAAATATTTGTAACAGAACAGACAGCAGAAGAGGAACGGGAGAAGAAGAGGGAGAAAAAACAGGAGAAGACAAAGAAAAAGAAGGAGGAGGAGGAAAAAGAGGAAGAGGAAGAAGGAGAAGGAGGGGGAGGAGGAGGAGAATAAAAAGAAGAAGATGAAGAATAAGAAGAAAAAGAAGGAGAGATAGATAGATTGAAAGAAAGAAAGAAAGAAACAAACAAACAAACAAACAAAGAAACAAAGAAAGAAACAAAGAAACAAAGAAAGAATAACTAACAATGAACAAGTTCAGCTCTGTAGGTGGATGTGAAAGCACCAAAATATGCCACACATGCTGCAGCTACAAAGACATCCCCAACAACATTCTTCAGCTGAAGCGTAAACTGTGTCACACCCTCTTCCCACCGCACCTGTAAACAGAGCAAGCATATTCATACAAACAGAAAACACCAGCTTTTACTGTGAGAGTGGCATGTGCAGTGGAAGCAAACTTCTCTTGAAAATGTTTTCTATTATCCTGCTGTGTGTGCTCTATTTGTTATTGCCAATTTTTACTTCACAAGCTACTAAGAGGGGCTGCATGGTCTCGAGGCATAGTGTCCGCCTCGAGTGCTATAGGTTCCAGGTTCAATCCCCGGTAAGGGCTGGAATTTGTTCACGTGGACTTGGACTTCTAGTAATTCGCCCTGGTCTCTGGGTAGTGAGATTGGATGCCTGTATGCATTGCACACGTAAAAAATCCCTTGGCAGTTGGAAATCGAAAGGAGTAGCCTAACGGCGCTGCCCGGGCAAAATTTGGAGTTTAAAATCTACCTAAAGTATTTCAGGATCATTGCTGGTGCTACAGAGCCTGTGCACTGTGCTAAGCTTCTTCGGACTCAGACTTCAGTTAGAAGAAGAACGGAGCATCTATGGGTTACTTCTAGTGTGCCATTATGTTGATCTGTTGTTCAAACCTCAAACCTCTTCACAAGCGACAGTCATGGTTATTCTATGTGGTTTTTCTGTGCTAGAGGAATAGAGAAACTATGGGGATAATGTGTTTCCTATATGAAGTTGCATTAATAAAGTAACAGAAAATAGAAAGAAGTAGAAAGATAGAAGAACACACTAGACAACATAAAAATTGAAAGCTATTGTTACCATACTGGTAATTAAACTGTCACCTCCAGACGGTGTTTGCGCCTCGCTATGGAAACAAGCACACTAAGAATATGGTCAACTAGGCACCCCCAAAATATGAAGATGGAACTGCGATTAACTCACCTGATTTGTGGGTATTAGTAAAACAGAGACAGAAGCCAGAGTACAGAAGGCAAATGATGTCACCTGCAAGTTAACCCCACTGCTTAGATATTAAAATGTCTCCCTTACAGCAAAAGAGCAAATGATTAATAGCATCTTTATCCCCACTTTATGATATCAGTGCCAAACATGGACAACAAATAGGGTACTAGAACAGAAAATAATAACATGTGAAATGTGCTGTCTGTGCAACGTCACTAACACCATAAGAAGAGACAGGGTTATGAATACCAGAATTAAAGAGAAAGTTGAAATAAGACTATGTAGGACTATACTGACAGACAGAGAATGAAATGGTTCAGCCATCTAGTGAGACTGCAGCCAGACCGTGTTGCATATGACACTTTTTATTGCAGGACATCTGGTAGGAAGGCAAGAGGAAGAACAAGTCAGACGTAGATAAATGGTGTAGCAGAAACCTGCAAAAAAGATGAAACAAAAATTATCATCCAAGCCACCTGAGAAGCGCAAGACAAATACAGAAAACCTGGACACTGGGCTACAATCTGGTCTCAGTGAGACGACAAAAGGAGAAAAAAAGGAGCCCTTTTTTGTGTGTGTAGTATTGACCTATGGTGCTGGACCCATATTTTATAGTCTAATCGGCATCATTGGGTTGTGCCATGAACATTTTACCAGCTGCCTTTACTTTCCAGAACATATCCTGGTACCCACTGTAGGCTTTGTTGACCTGGAAGGCATAAATAAAATCCGACTCAGAGTGGATTTTAACCCATGCCTTTTGGGTCAGCAAGCAAGCACCTAGCTACTGCACTAACAAGGGTCCCTAATTGTTGATTACTGCAACATTACATATTTCTAGATTTCAGTTTTAAATGTGCTATATGCTGCAATAAGAACCACAGCCCATGGTGACAGAGTGTGTGATCAGCTTGCATTAGGAATAATCTGCCACAGTAAAAGCCCTATATGCCCAATATGCCTGAAGGTGTGGAAAAGGATCCTTTACTTTACTTATATGGTGATCTAACTCTGCAGTAATGCACCTGACGAGAAACAGCCAAATATGCCAGACAAAAAAACTGTGCAATGTTCTGTTTGTGTCCGCGCTATTCAAAC